AATATTCTTCAATATTGAAGAATATTCTTCAATATTGAAGAATATTCTTCAATATTGAAGAATATTCTTCAATATTGAAGAATATTCTTCAATATATTCTTCAATATTGAAGAATATTCTTCAATATTGAAGAATATTCTTCAATATAAGAATATTCTTCAATATTGAAGAATATTCTTCAATATTGAAGAATATTCTTCAATATTGAAGAATATTCTTCAATATTGAAGAATATTCTTCAATATTGAAGAATATTCTTCAATATTGAAGAATATTCTTCAATATTGAAGAATATTCTTCAATATTGAAGAATATTCTTCAATATTGAAGAATATTCTTCAGAATATTCTTCAATATTGAAGAATATTCTTCAATATTGAAGAATATTCTTCAATATTGAAGAATATTCTTCAATATTGAAGAATATTCTTCAATATTGAAGAATATTCTTCAATATTGAAGAATATTCTTCAATATTGAAGAATATTCTTCAATATTGAAGAATATTCTTCAATATTGAAGAATATTCTTCAATATTGAAGAATATTCTTCAATATTGAAGATTATTCTTCAATATTGAAGAATAATCTTCTTCATTGAAGAAGAATATTCTTCAATATTGAAGAATATTCTTCAATATTGAAGAATATTCTTCAATATTGAAGAATATTCTTCAATATTGAAGAATATTCTTCAATATTGAAGAATATTCTTCAATATTGAAGAATATTCTTCAATATTGAAGAATATTCTTCAATATTGAAGAATATTCTTCAATATTGAAGAATATTCTTCAATATTGAAGAATAATCTTCTTCATATTGAAGAATATTCTTCAATATTGAAGAATATTCTTCAATATTGAAGAATATTCTTCAATATTGAAGAATATTCTTCAATATTGAAGAATATTCTTCAATATTGAAGAATATTCTTCAATATTGAAGAATATTCTTCAATATTGAAGAATATTCTTCAATATTGAAGAATATTCTTCAATATTGAAGAATATTCTTCAATATTGAAGAATATTCTTCAATATTGAAGAATATTTCAATATTCAATATTGAAGAATATTCTTCAATATTGAAGAATATTCTTCAATATTGAAGAATATTCTTCAATATTGAAGAATATTCTTCAATATTGAAGAATATTCTTCAATATTGAAGAATATTCTTCAATATTGAAGAATATTCTTCAATATTGAAGAATATTCTTCAATATTGAAGAATATTCTTCAATATTGAAGAATATTCTTCAATATTGAAGAATATTCTTCAATATTCATATATTGAAGAATATTCTTCAATATTGAAGAATATTCTTCAATATTGAAGAATATTCTTCAATATTGAAGAATATTCTTCAATATTGAAGAATTCTTCAATATTCTTCTTCAATATTGAAGAATATTCTTCAATATTGAAGAATATTCTTCAATATTGAAGAATATTCTTCAATATTGAAGAATATTCTTCAATATTGAAGAATATTCTTCAATATTGAAGAATATTCTTCAATATTGAAGAATATTCTTCAATATTGAAGAATATTCTTCAATATTGAAGAATATTCTTCAATATTGAAGAATATTCTTCAATATTGAAGAATATTCTTCAATATTGAAGAATATTCTTCAATATTGAAGAATATTCTTCAATATTGAAGAATATTCTTCAATATTGAAGAATATTCTTCAATATTGAAGAATATTCTTCAATATTGAAGAATATTCTTCAATATTGAAGAATATTCTTCAATATTGAAGAATATTCTTCAATATTGAAGAATATTCTTCAATATTGAAGAATATTCTTCAATATTGAAGAATATTCTTCAATATTGAAGAATATTCTTCAATATTGAAGAATATTCTTCAATATTGAAGAATATTCTTCAATATTGAAGAATATTCTTCAATATTGAAGAATATTCTTCAATATTGAAGAATATTCTTCAATATTGAAGAATATTCTTCAATATTGAAGAATATTCTTCAATATTGAAGAATATTCTTCAATATTGAAGAATATTCTTCAATATTGAAGAATATTCTTCAATATTGAAGAATATTCTTCAATATTGAAGAATATTCTTCAATATTGAAGAATATTCTTCAATATTGAAGAATATTCTTCAATTGAAGAATATTCTTCAATATTGAAGAATATTTCTTCTTCAATATTGAAGAATATTCTTCAATATTGAAGAATATTCTTCAATATTGAAGAATATTCTTCAATATTGAAGAATATTCTTCAATATTGAAGAATATTCTTCAATATTGAAGAATATTCTTCAATATTGAAGAATATTCTTCAATATTGAAGAATATTCTTCAATATTGAAGAATATTCTTCAATATTGAAGAATATTCTTCAATATTGAAGAATATTCTTCAATATTGAAGAATATTCTTCAATATTGAAGAATATTCTTCAATATTGAAGAATATTCTTCAATATTGAAGAATATTCTTCAATATTGAAGAATATTCTTCAATATTGAAGAATATTCTTCAATATTGAAGAATATTCTTCAATATTGAAGAATATTCTTCAATATTGAAGAATATTCTTCAATATTGAAGAATATTCTTCAATATTGAAGAATATTCTTCAATATTGAAGAATATTCTTCAATATTGAAGAATATTCTTCAATATTGAAGAATATTCTTCAATATTGAAGAATATTCTTCAATATTGAAGAATATTCTTCAATATTGAAGAATATTCTTCAATATTGAAGAATATTCTTCAATATTGAAGAATATTCTTCAATATTGAAGAATATTCTTCAATATTGAAGAATATTCTTCAATATTGAAGAATATTCTTCAATATTGAAGAATATTCTTCAATATTGAAGAATATTCTTCAATATTGAAGAATATTCTTCAATATTGAAGAATATTCTTCAATATTGAAGAATATTCTTCAATATTGAAGAATATTCTTCAATATTGAAGAATATTCTTCAATATTGAAGAATATTCTTCAATATTGAAGAATATTCTTCAATATTGAAGAATATTCTTCAATATTGAAGAATATTCTTCAATATTGAAGAATATTCTTCAATATTGAAGAATATTCTTCAATATTGAAGAATATTCTTCAATATTGAAGAATATTCTTCAATATTGAAGAATATTCTTCAATATTGAAGAATATTCTTCAATATTGAAGAATATTCTTCAATATTGAAGAATATTCTTCAATATTGAAGAATATTCTTCAATATTGAAGAATATTCTTCAATATTGAAGAATATTCTTCAATATTGAAGAATATTCTTCAATATTGAAGAATATTCTTCAATATTGAAGAATATTCTTCAATATTGAAGAATATTCTTCAATATTGAAGAATATTCTTCAATATTGAAGAATATTCTTCAATATTGAAGAATATTCTTCAATATTGAAGAATATTCTTCAATATTGAAGAATATTCTTCAATATTGAAGAATATTCTTCAATATTGAAGAATATTCTTCAATATTGAAGAATATTCTTCAATATTGAAGAATATTCTTCAATATTGAAGAATATTCTTCAATATTGAAGAATATTCTTCAATATTGAAGAATATTCTTCAATATTGAAGAATATTCTTCAATATTGAAGAATATTCTTCAATATTGAAGAATATTCTTCAATATTGAAGAATATTCTTCAATATTGAAGAATATTCTTCAATATTGAAGAATATTCTTCAATTGAAGAATATTCTTCATTATGAATTAATATTCTTCAATATGTTTATTCAGACACGAACAAATACATCTGATAAGAGTAGTTTAGGGTATTTCTACTCACCTCTACTTCAAGAGCCTCACACAGTACAAATACAATATTCAAATTTAACATTTCACGTTAATATAGTACTAAGAGTATAATACTCTACATGCACCGCACTCAATTTGAACCCATTAACCCTCAAAGATAATATTCTCACTAGACTTTCTTCCATGTTTTATTATTAAACATTCTTGGCCCTGTCCGTCACATTCGATTTTTTCTCACACAGACTCCCAACACACTAACTATTGTGCAAGTCAGCAGAAACAAAAAATGTTACAATCATCAAAGGTATTATTAGCAGAAACGTCAGGACCTCAAAGAGCATAGATGTTGTGCAGTGAAGGGACGACGGCGGGTATTTCGAGCGTAGCGTAGTGGAGCTGTGTAGGACTGAGGGGGGAAAACCGGGAACGATGGCTTAAATGTGCGCCACGATACAGTTAGCTGGTGCAAGCGTAGCGTCTGTTGCCCAGGCCGAAGGCAGGCGTAGAAGGCGAGGGAGAAGAGCGCTGGGTAGCAGGTCTTCTCGTAAGTCCACCGGCAGGGCCCCCAGTAGTCGATGCAGTACATGTCTGGTAACGGGCAATCGTCGTGCGGGGACCCGTTGTGCCTTGTTGCGCGCTCCCTTAAGTACTTGTGTGACTACGAACTGCCGAGTAGGATCCTCCCTACCATGCAGCTTAAACATGAAGGAGATTGCCGCAAGGCAGGCGCTGAGAGAGCGGAAAGCCAAACCTCGGGACAACAGCGACTGCAGGAAGTTCCCCAGTGTCCTGGACGAGGCCTTGAAGGGACACTCCCGCCCCCTCTTGTTCGATACATACGCCACGTACTCCGGTCACTTATGTTGATACGCTCGCCGTGTCGCGGGCTGCAGGGAGTCGAGCAGCGTCCTTACAGTTTCAGGGTGAACTTGCAGGGCAGGAGGTGCTGCGGGATTGCGGTTGGCTTCTCAGAGAGTCCTGCGTCTCGCAGGAACGAGGGCGGCACTACCGTTGGAGGACGTGCTGGAACACCTGTGTCGCCGCCGTGTCGCGTGTCTCCTCGCCCTTGACGGCCCACACAGTGGGGGGGGGGGGGGGGGGGGGGGGGGGGGGGGGGACCTGTGCGTGTAGGGCCGTTCGTGAGGACCTCCATGTCGCCCGCTCCGCCGGGGTTCCAAGTCTGCCCTCGCATCGAATCGGAGGGGGGGGGGGGGGGGGGGGGCCTCCGAGCCTGAGCAATGAGCGTCTGCAGCGTTGCCCAGTCGGCGCCCGCCCCCCCTGGCCACGCCGGTTATGCGTGCATCGTGGATGTGGTCGCCGTCCCAGTCAGAGCCAGCCGAAGAGGCCTCCGAGGAGGAGGCGAAGCGAGCTGGTTTCACCCTGGCCGGTTGCGCCCATTCGTCCCTGTCCTCGTCTTGACGCCGCCCTTGTCTTCTTCACCGCGGGGGGTGCGTCGCCCGCCATCCCCTTACTGTGGAGAGGGCAAAATATAAGCGGCCGGCCACGTCAGGACAAGAAAGAAAGAAAGAAAGAGAGAGAGAGAGAGAGAGAATAAATAAAACAAAGACACATTAAAGAACTTGAGACATGACATACCATAACCATAAGTAAACTGAAAGCAGTAACATAAATAACGCGTAAATAAAATACAACGAAAAGTAACAGGAACCAAAAAAAGACATAAGTAAAAACAAACGATAACTAAATAAATAAGCGCAAAGTGAACAGAGAAAACAGAATAAGGACAGAACTAATAACTGAAATAAAGGAATCAATAACGAACAAACTAACAAAATATTTAAAACTAATGAAAGGGTAGCAGTGAAACAGGGAGGGGGGGGGGGGAACAAACATATTACTTAAGTGAAAACGGAGAAAGACGATTAATTATTTGGTCTGAAATGCCATCTAATTCATCTGTCTGGTAAACCAGACATTTTATTTCGTGATTACTTTATTGTGTCATTTGGTTTTGTAACTCTTATATGATACTGATGCTAACCTCTGCGGCCACACTTACACAGGTACTTACGAACGTCTACATATTTCAGCAATCTATTAAACAGTTTACAAGCATGAAAACTTCCCATTCAACTGTTGTTATTGTTATAAAAGCCTCCTGGTGTTTCGGAGCTCATTAACTATTCGTTTACAAATATTAAAGCCGCCTAAGCTTCACAAAACCTCTATACGTTCGTAAGTGCTTGCATAACGTGTTCCATTATCTACCCTACCGAGTAAACCTATACTCGCTCCATTATCTCATCTTAATGGCTTAACTAATTACACAACCTATAATCCTATCCCTATTTACAGGTAACGGTTTTCCACCCTCCTATCTGTCAGGTCTAGTAACCGTATAAAAGCCAGCGATTTCACAATAGCAAAACAGTACAATCTCCAGTCAAGAATGTAGTACTCTGTGTAGGCAGTTCTAATCAACCCAAAGACGCTACAGGTTCGACACAAAGCAGGCAGCACACTACGATCTCATCCACCTAAAATGCTCTCCCACATACAGCTCCGAGACTCCTCCCACACTCGGCTCTGCTCCAGGCTTGGTCTCAACGTCTACGACACTGCTGTATCCAGGACTACTAAATAAATATGAAACTCACTAAACCCTATGTATCTAATCAACGTAACATAAACGTACGTTACATACACAATTACATTTAATGTTCCTATTTTTCGGATGGGACCATCACTATAGTGTGGAGGAACATCTTGGACACGGGGGAGATACCAGATGAACTTAAAGTAGCAGACATAGCCCCTCTACACAAGGGACGGACCAAACATTGGCAAAAAACTATACACAGCTTGCACTAACATCGCGCATCATAAAAGTATGAGAGTGATTAGGAGTCAGGTCACCAATTTCATTGAGACCAATGACCTTCACAACCCAGGCCAACATGGATTTCGAGCGGGAAGATCGTGCCTCTCAAAGCTACTTGAGCACTATCACAGTCACTGAGGCATTAGAAGAAAATCAGAATGCTGATGTGATATACACGGACTTCGAAAAGCCGTTCGATAAATGTGACCATGGCGTGATAGCACACAAAATGAAGTCAATGGGAATAACCGGTAAACTAGGTCGCTGGATAATCAGTTTTCTGTCAAACAGGACTCACCGAGTAACTGTCAACCATATAAAATCTAGTCAAAGTGCAGTGAAAAGCTCTGTACCTCAGGGTACAGTCCTTGCACCGCTGCTTTTCCTTATGAGAATATCAGATATAGACAAAAATACAACTCACAGCTTCGTATCATTCTTTGCAGACGACACAAAAATCATTAGCAACATTACCTCGGCTGAGGACATTAAGTTTTTCAAAGCTGATATTAATAAACTTTTCGACTGGCCATCAGAAAATAACATGATGTTTAACAGTGATAAATTCAAGGTACTCAGGTACGGTAAAAATGAGGACCTTAAACATAATACAAACTAAAAAACACAATCAAATGTACCCATAGTAGGAAAACACCATGTAAAGGATTTGGGATTAATAATGTCTGACGACCTAACGTTTAAGGAGCATAACCAACCAAATATTGCGACAGGCAGAAAAATGATAACATGAATTACGAGAACTTTCACATCCAGGGATCACATCACAATGGTTGTACTCTTCAAGTAACTTGTGTTGTCCCGTCTTCAGTACTCACTTCCCCCATCAGAGCAGGAGACATTGCTGAAATAGAGGGAATACAGAGAACATACGGCACGCATAGATGCAATAAAGCACAAATTATTGGCATCGTCTCAAAGCCCTCCAAATGTACTCAATAGAAACAAGACGAGAGACATCAAATAATATACACCTCGAAGATACTGGAGGGCCAAGTACCAAACCTACACAGTAAAATAACAACGTACTGGAGTAAACGATATGAAACAAAATGTAAAATACAACCAGTGAAGAGCAGGTGCGCCATAGGCACAATCAGAGAACACTATGAACATCAGAGGTCCGCGGTTGCTCAACGTCCTCCCTGCGAGCATAAGAAATATTGCCGGAACAACCGTAGACATCTTCAAGAGGAAACTAGATTTATTCCTCCAACGAGTGCCGGACAAACCGGGCTGTGGTGGGTATGTGGGCCTGCGGCCCGCTCCAAGCAACAGCCATTGGACCAAACTCTCACAAGTCAAGCCTGGCCTCGGGCCGGGCTTCGGGAGTACAAGAACTCCCAGAACCCCATCAACCAGGTATCACAGCATTTGGCCATCAGATGAGGCCACTGGAATGGTGGGGGTAGGACAAGGGAATGCTGGAGTTGACAAAGGGAAGAGGGAGTGAGGAGTGGTTCGGAGGAGGAGGGTACCGGGGAAGGTTGCTGTGGCTCAGCAACGCGTGGCCGGGTACAGCCAGTATATGGCTGTAGTATTGAAGAATATTCTACAATAACAATTTCGGAGCTAAGCGACCTCGTGGTTGCACAGCCCATAGCAGCTGTGACTACCTGAGCAACGTTAACAACAAAAACATGCATATCTTTCAGCCTGGATCAAACCGTCAACATTACGACTACGATTCTACAATTCTGTCCATTCACACCTCAAGCCCCCATGTTACTATTATTCTATTAACATTATATATTATAGTTTACCATTTCCATGCGCGTTACTAACGTACAAAACTATTACCACAAATTCAGGCGAAGGCAAGTGATCACACTCATTATGAAACTACAGTTTATTACATACAGCAGCTTAACTGCAAGTATGGCACGGCAACCACTGCAGTGATCCCACGGTCACTGCATGGATTTTCAAATCTTTTTCATGTAGATGACTGAAGATGGAAGAACACTTTCTTCATTCAAGAACCCCTTGTTTCTGGTGAATGTCAAATGAAGATAAGGTGAGGGCACAACTCTCTGGCGATGTTTCCCTTACTCACGGTGTGGTCGCGTGATCCTCGTCTTTAATCTTTCGTCCACCTACTACGGAAGCACAGCCACAGTTCAAAATCCACTGGTGATTTTGCCACGCGCTGTTCCACGCTCGGATTCGCTGTACCAATCAACCATGATGCTTATCTCTCCACTCGGCTAAAAAACAAAAGATTATGCATATTAGGTTTTATTTACCCTTTGAACTAACATTTTAATTAACATCTTAACTTAAAATGCCATCTTCGCATTTATTATTTTACAATTCCTTACCCTATCTAATACACGAGTTACTAAAATATTTTCACTGCACAAATACCAAACTTTAACCAATTTCTATATGTTATTGTCTTTTACAGTCAATGATCTAACTAAATTCACGTCTCCTTTACATTTATATCTATTACCAATTTTACTTCATTTCCCTAACGTTTCCCATATATTACAAACTTGTTATTAGTTTGGCATTCTAGGGGATAAAATATGTATATATAAATAAAAGGTACATTGGGTTTGTTAGAATAGATAGCCTGGTATTTACACTTTTAAGGCCATTAGTACACGCAGCCTTTTGGCCAGCTCCTTAATCTAAGATCATTTTAAGTACGTAAATTCTAGCGGAATTAATATTATTTTTGCAATGTATCAAACAAAACATGAGATTAGAGATATTAGTAGGTACAGGTATATTAAACCACATTGGTATATTCAACCTCAGATTGCATTGACAGCTTGATTGCTAATTTATACTAACATTAATAGCCACCATACAGCAAATTTAAAGCACATAAGACACCAATGATCACAATGGTCAAGTTTTTATGCATTCGGTACATGATTAGGAGATTGGGTACCAATACATACAGTGCAATTTTAAAGCAACAATGTTGAAAACTATGAACATGCAATTAGGTACTTTTTACTTTGAATATTTACTTGATTCCCTACAACTATCTATTCCTTTATGATTCAACAATTCCCCCACAATATTTCTACATCAACTATATATCCCCTTCCTTGACCAGAACACATTTACTGCCCTCTGTAAGGACTCGCCTTCTACGCGAGTCCCTCCTATTTCTCTATATAATAGACTCCACCTTAATAGCAATCCACATTAATAACCATTCAAAACACACTGGATATCTCAACCATCAAATTACATCCTCGACGATTATGCACTATAAACATTTACTAGCAAATTTAATTCTTTCGTACCTTGTATGGAAGAGTGAAACTTGATCCTTCAACAGCTGGAGGTTGTCCCTAGAGTAACCACACAGGATGGTACCAACGTCATCCACCTCTAGGGTAGTCAAGCGTGTCAACTGCGAAACTATATTCTATTCAGCATTCTGAACATTCATATACGATAAACATTCCTTATCACCATTAATATCTCAAATACACGGCCATGCACTGTTCTAAAAACGAGACAGCTTGGGAAGCAGGTGCCTCATGGGCCAGTTTTGAAATGGGACATGCACTGGGTTATGAAACCAAGCGCCACTCCACCTGCAGAATGATATTTACTATTACTTGGATTTCAGTTTTATGGACTACGTAACTAAATTCTTTTAGGAAGATGTGTTGAAATGAACATATCACACTCGCCTGCAGGTCACAGCCTCTTCCGTTACTCTGCAGTGTGGCGTTGGTTGGCCTCCACACATGCTGCTACATCATAAATAGATAATTCACCATTGCTCTGTTTCGCCCAGCCCGCACCTCTCCACACGCTCATCTGCAGGAAATAATGCAGATCAGCATCAATTTAACTTTCACAACAATTATTAAGGGCTATAACCATCTATGATTACTATAGTACAAACTCCTTACACAATTTTTTCTCCCATGCGAAATCATTTGCTCTAATATAATTGTATAATTCAACCTCTAACAATTTGTATATTACTTTGATAGATCTACCAACGTCTAACTCAGTTTAGATGAGGGAAAACTAATACATAGCAAAACATGTCTTGCACCTCGGATGAGTGCTAATTGGATTTTCAATACCATCAAAGCGCAGACATGACAATACCCTTCCCACACTCAAAACACCATGTCTGGTAGACCTACAATCCGAACCTAAACACGAGATTTACAATTCTTCGGCTTTCGTGATCGCGCATAATCATCCTCCCTCCCCCCAATCAGCGTCTGTTACAGTTCCGGCTACACAACATTAACTGCCCAATAATTACCTACCACTAGTAATTGGGGTACCTATATCACCACAGTCTCCTTTCCCTGGAACATAATCAGCAAATATGTTCCTACTACACAATTCTCCATTAACACTGAAAAATCAAGTCCACACCATATACGTCCTACACAATGATAACCAACAGCTCTTACACCAATAGCTGAAGCTCAACCTTAAGTTCAAAAGTGACTTTCACTTTTGCCTCGACCTACACTACTGGTGGAGCGCACGCTATCCCGCTCACTACACAATTACACCAATATCAACAACATAACCACCACCTACACACTCCCACGTCTACCGTCGCCACCCACCTACAGTAAACAAGACAAATACCGTCACGAGGGTCACGTCTGCAGTTGAAATTAATCAGCCATTCGTCGCAAGTCAACCGGAACATTCACATCCCCTACACGTATAAATGATATTGTTGAGCTGTATTTTTTATGAGCTCTTTGTCCTACGAAGGAGGTCGCGCTTATTTCATGCTGTATAGTTAACATTAATGTTATTCTTCCAATGTTACTGCCATTAAACATTTACATATCACCTATGTACGTCAAACTACTCTGGGTCAATTTATGTCTACGTCCTTCGACGAGGACAGGAAGGCTACGTATTCTTCGTATTCTACGTAGTTTCCACCCCCCCCTACGTCAAATTATGTACCCAGGTAACCCGAACACTAAGGTGTGTGGGGGGGGGGGGGTGGAAACAGCACTTTTATCCAATTTTAAAGACTACACTGTACCCAGAGCCAGAGCGGCCAAAGTCTATCGACCGACTTATTCACTACTCCTAATCACCAAAGTGACAGGAAGCAACAGCACCATCCTCGATCAAATACTCTAACAAAACTTTTTACACAACTTAACCTATGAGTTACGGTAATTCATGTTTTCATATTTAAAACAAAACTGATGGGGGTCCTGATATGGCTGTAGTAATGAATGCTCAAACTTCCATTGCCCAAAGTAGGCTCCCAGTAATTAAATTTAAACGGGACGACCACATGATTAAAGAACCATAATTAATTACAATAAGGCGTTATTAGTGTATCCTAATACAATATTACTATGCCTCAAACTTTATTTACCTTGTGTCGGATAGGCCCATCATACCTTGGTAACTCAAGTAGCACATCTGGAACATCTCCCACCACCTTCTGCTCGGCAGGGTATGACTCCAATCATCGGTCCACCAGTGGTCCCATCACCACCTTCATATCTCAGGCACATTCGAGCTTCAAGACTGCTGGGGAACAAAATACAATACAATGTTACAAATCAATACAGTACGTAAACATTTATAACTATATTTTAGTACTGATTATGGGTCAGGACTAAAACATCTCGCTGTATATATAACCCCCAAACAGGAGGTATATACGCCAGCTATAAAATAATAGATATTTTTGCCCCTATGTGCGTTTTGACGGTGTACAGATTGACAGTGTAACCTAGGGGTCTGTCAGCCCTAGCGACCCCAAAGGGTAACGGGGTACCAGCTCAGAGTAACATCACGCCCTAACACTAACCTGCACACCTCTACTCGGCTAATTCTAGGGGCAAAATAACGTTCCGTTGCGCCTCAATCAGCAGGTGGACTCAATAGCCAATCACGTTTCTCATTTTCAGTTGACGTCACATTGTCGCAAGCTGTACTGTCATTGGTCGGCTCGACGTAATTGGATACCTTAGTAATTCATGACAGTTATTTTTTGAAACTCAAATATATAAACTCAAATGTATACCCAAAGTATGAGAAACATACATGTACCAAATGGATAAGAAATTATTAATTTTGATAGATTTTACCTACTTTAAGTTATCTGTTAGATAAAGGGCCTGCCCCAAACGCTGCGCGTACTAGTGGCTTTACAAGAGTGTAATTACTCTACTATGCTATGTATTCTCACAAACACAATGTACCTTCTGGTATATAAATCAATAAAGACATTTAATGTTTTACATTACACTCACAAATGATCATTTTCGATTACTTATTATTAAATAACTATTATTATAATTATTAAATAATAAGATTACTTATTCAAGCTGTATGTACAGTACAACACAGTACAGAATAGTACAGTACCGTAGACTACAGTTCCGTACGGTACGATGCACTACAGTATACTGTACTGTATACATTACAATACAGTACAGTACCATACAGTACCGTACGATACAGTACAGTATAGGGCACAGTATTGTACAGTACAATACAGAACAGTACAGTACCGTAGAGTACACTACAGTACAAGGTACAGTACCCTGGAGTTCAGGCCTCGCCACTGTAGGGGGGGGGGGCAGTCGTCGCCACGTCTCGCGTTCCCAGTACTTGATAGCACTTTCTCTGTAACTAGCTGACATTGTATCTATAAGGTGTGAAGGACTGAAGATATGGTTTATGTAATAATCTAAGATGAGGTCTGGTAAAGACCTTTTGTGCCCTCTGTAATGCTTTGGCGCTACCGCTCACAGGATGAGTATGGGGTGCACAATAAACTAGCCGCCTTCGGCGCCAACAATCAAACCATTAGTTGTTGGGCGCTGCGAGGGGGTGGTGCGGCCTTATTATTATTATTCACATCTTTATTGACTAAATTAATTACAATTTTGCCTAATCTGAGGATTTTGATAGGTCTAATTAAAGTGAGGATAATGCTGGTATTCACTGTCACGCAGGACAGAGGGTCATACATAAGACAATAGGTCTAAACTGTAGGCTGAAGCACATATATATCATGGTTACAATCAATGTTTTAATGTATGGATATGTGAAAACAACTTTCTATTGTGCACTGCCACACAAGGGCAGGCATGGGTTCATAAGTGATGCAGCTTAGAAGTAATATAAATATAAATTGTTCTTCATTCGTTAAAATGGACAACCAATTTTTGGGTAAATTGTTAGGATGTCGTCCAGAACACCTGAGTCAATAAAATAGTTACACAGTTGGTGGTACAAGAGGCCAGGAGGTCTAAAGTCCTTTACGGTTTCACATTCATCACTATAGTGTTCTAGTGAATGCATTAAAGGTTTATCACAGAGTTTACAATCTGCATATTCTGGTAGTGGCTCAGCCTCACTAACCTGCCAGATGTGTCTACAGCCAAGGTGAATTCGCGCAATGACTACATCACATTGCCTAGTCCGGTTACTGTGCTGACCATACAAATACCTATTATTACAAAACTTGTCATAACTTTTAATACTGCAGCTTTCAGGTCTCTGGCCATTTCTTAGTTCTTCTAAATCTGATTTAATTTCTTTAATTTGTATGTTTCTAATAACTGCATTAGATAGTCCAAAGTCATAATCAATTCTTTCTTTCCTGCAAGCCTCATTGGCCAATTGATCTACAAAGTCATGTTTTCAAACTCCAACATGGGATGGGATCCACACAAATTTTATACAAGAGTTATTATCATTGGTAAAAATTACATTCCATTTAATATTACAAGCTACTTCCGACGTACATTGTGATGGGTTATTTAAGGACTGCAGAGCACTTTTAGAGTCACAGAATATCACTCCACCACCATTGAGCTTGAGTGACCGGCGTGTTAGCTCGCGGCATGGCGGCGGCTGGGAGTACGCCGATTCGCCGTGTAGATACTGTCAGGCTTCCTTTCTCAGCTCCTGTGGATTGGCTTCTCGTATTAGTCGCGTTACTGGACGTTTTGGATGTGAAGGTCGCCGATCTTCTAGGCCTGGAGAAACTTACGTATATGCGTGTGGCGGTGAAATTTGCCACGTCAGCCGGCTACCTGGATTTTGTACGCCACTACACTGATGTAGTGTAGCAAAATCGGGCAAAAATTCGCCAGATTTTTGCCCGCTACCGGCGAAAATCGCGCGATTTTTGGCCTCTAGCAGCGAAAATCGCACGGTTTTTGCCCGCTAGTGGCAAAAATCGACCGATTTTCCCCGCTAGTGGCCAAAAATCATGCAAATTTCGCTGCTAGCGGCCAAAAATCGGGCGATTTTCGCCGCTAGCGGCCAAAAACCATGTGATTTTCGCCGCTAGTGGCCAAAAATCGCGCGATTTTCGCCACTACCGGCCAAAAATTTTTGCCCTCCAGCCGCGCGATTTTTGCCCTCCAGCGGCGAAATTCGCCAGATTTTTGCCCGCTACCGGCGAAAATCGCGCGATTTTTGCCCGCCAGCTGCGAAAATCACACCTACAAGGTACTGCCCCACACCTAGAAGGTACAGCACCACACCTAGAAGGTACAGCACCACACCTAGAAGGTACTGCCCCACACCTAGAAGGTACAGCCCCACACCTAGAAGGTACAGCACCACACCTAGAAGGTACAGCACCACACCTAGAAGTACTGCCCCACACCTAGGTGTGGGGCGATATTCTAAGTGAGGTACAGCACTTCTTGGTGTGGGGCAGTACCTTCTAGGTGTGGTACAGTACTTCTAGGTGTGGGGCAGTACTTCTAGGTGTGGTACAGTACTTCTAGGTGTGGTCTTCATCAAACAATCAAGGAATAATACTTAAGAGCACTCACTAGTGTGTGTAAACCTACAGTGTTCAAGTGCTATCAGGCAGGGCTTACAATGGAAGCAGATGTTACAAAGGTTTTCTGTCCCCAACAATAAGAAAAATTTGAACGCGAATTAGCAATGTTTAAAACGAGAATGTGTAAGACAGCAGAGGAGAAAGACTAACAAAATTCCACAAAACTTGCAAACTAGTGGAAAGAATAACAGTTGAAAACTCAATATCCTCGACAATAAATATAAAAAGCATGAACAACGCAAATCATTGCACCAGGAGTTGGGAAGGCGGGGCTAGAGACCTATATCTCCTCTATGAAAACATTAATTTTCAAGTACAAAACTTACAACCTGAAGCTTGGGCTTCACACCACCAGAGGGCAGCACTGCTGCGTCTCAGAGTCGCCTCACAGAGTTTCCCTTCCTGTGGTAACTTTCCCAGCCTAAGAGACCTCAAGCTTGGGCTTCACACCACCAGAGGGCAGCACTGCTGCGTCTCAGAGTCGCCTCACAGAGTTTCCCTTCCTGTCGTAACTTTCCCAGTCTAAGAGACCTCAAGCTTGGCCGTCACACCACCAGAGTGCAGCACTGCTGCGTCTCAGAGTCGCCTCACAGAGTTTCCCTTCCTGTCGTAACTTTCCCAGTCTAAGAGACCTCAAGCTTGGCCGTCACACCACCAGAGGGCAGCACTGCTGCGTCTCAGAGTCGCCTCACAGAGTTTCCCTTCCTGTCGTAACTTTCCCAGTCTAAGAGACCTCAAGCTTGGCCGTCACACCACCAGAGTGCAGCACTGCTGCGTCTCAGAGTCGCCTCACAGAGTTTCCCTTCCTGTCGTAACTTTCCCAGCCTAAGAGACCTGAAGCTTGGCCGTCACACCACCAGAGGGCAGCACTGCTGCGTCTCAGAGTCGCCTCACAGAGTTTCCCTTCCTGTCGTAACTTTCCCAGTCTAAGAGACCTGAAGCTTGGCCGTCACACCACCAGAGGGCAGCACTGCTGCGTCTCAGAGTCACCTCACAGAGTTTCCCTTCCTGTGGTAACTTTCCCAGCCTAAGAGAGACAAATAGATTTCCACCAAAGCTATAACTATGAATTATACATGCAGTAAACCAGATAATTAATTATTAAGTCCATCTCGAATAATTACGAACTTTAAAAGTATAAATTAAACAAAAACAGTTGATACTAAAATTTACGCCGAATAAAATATTAAACAAATACACTATTTTTGAATATTTTAATCTTTTTCATAGGCTATTATGTCTTTTTCCCTCAGCCAATAAGAAAGCCCAATAATTTTACTTCAGGTGAATCGCTGTCGATGATTGGTCGACTCTCAATGATCTTGCCATTTCTTTAAATCTTCCAAACTGTTTTCTTATGATAATTCGAGCCGCGATTTTTAAATTCTTTGTTTACGTTTTTTGAGCACTCAGACGCGAACGGACATGCGCGCGCACCCTAGATCGTAGACGATACGGGGGACATGACCACCACATGCAAGATTCTCAAAGGAATTGATAGGGTACAAAAAGACAGTTTAACCCAAGGGGCACACGCACTAGGGGATACAGGTGGAAATTGAGTGCCTAAATGAGCCATAAAGACATTAGAAAGATTTTTTAGTGTCAGAGTAGTTAATAAATGGAATAGGAATGCATTAGGGGGTGATGTGGTGGAGGCTGACTCCATACACAGTTTCAAGTGTAGATATGATAGAGCCCAATAGGCTCAGGA